AAACATGTACACTTCCTTTATAAATAAATTTATAACGAACTTGCTAAGGTAACGTTACATTCTTTCTGACCTCATTCAAGGAACAGGTCTCCGCCTATATAAAGTCGAAAAATATTTCGAAAATCTCACAAAGAAATCGACTACTAAAATATTTATCCATGATCACTTTCTCTGTCATTCTTACTTAGGGTACGAAATCTTTCATATTTTATTTACCATCACGCAGGCGCTAGTTACATTTAAAGCACAATACTTAAAACTGATCAGTTTATTTTATCGTGTCTAGTTTATTCATCATCGCTAAAATCCGGGTACAAACTTTGCCTATTTATCTTTATGGGCGTTCTACTTAAATATCACAACCAACCGTTAGAAAAAAAGATAAAAAGGATGGAGTCATGGACGTAGTTTGCCTAGGATATCGAAACTGCTGCACATACAGAATGACACATGGAGTATTTAGCGGAACGAAGGGAGAAGGAATTTGGTTGTCTCCTGGGCGCGTGGGGAAAATGATGATCTGGCAGGTTATCTTAGATCAGATTCCCCTAAACCGCGGGTGTAAGTGACTTTTTAGACGCGGTTTTTCATGTACGTAGTTTAAGACAAGATTCTTGATCAACGATGGGAATTTACTTGAGGCTTTTGAGGTGCAAGTACTTAGCATAATGATTTAAATGAAGACTACTGTCAAGAGTACAATTAACAACTAAAGAACACTTTACTGTGTTGAGTTTGTTTTAGACACTTCTAGAGAACTGAGATTAGAAGAACGCCCAATAAATATATATGCAACAGAAGAAAATAAAATACTTCCCATCGCAATTTGCAGGCTTCCTTAATTATTTAAGTTGGAAAATTTTCCTGAACCAAGCTAAGCTCAATATATATATTTTGATTATTTCCATCTCAAATATGTCAAGAGCGGTTTGGACTATAAATACTTTTCCGTATTTCGGTGCTACGGAAATATAGATAGTATTAATTAAACATGAGAAGAGTTTCCGCAGCTCGATATTTTCTCGGACTTGCGTCGATCTGTGCCCACTGAAGTGCTTCGAACAACTGAAAAATCGAAATGCATCATTTTGCGTGGGCTGCACAACTAAGACCTGAAAACGCGTAGTCTGCAGGACGATTTTCAACGTGTCTTTTTGTTGGAATACGCATTGAGCCAATCATATTTGTTTTTCAGAGGTGGCAGCCCTATTAAAGCTGCACAAAGGCTGCCACTTGGCTCAGTTCAACACAACACAAACATGCTCACCATTATTTGTCTGCTAACTTTATCAGCCATCTGTAGTGCTCAAACTACACCCGAACCATGGAAAGTAGTACCAGAAGAGGTAGATCCAATATATTGGCAGAAAGAAGCCGAGAAATTTATCGCTGCTGCCTGTGAACGCTTTCCAGTTCTGCAGAAAGAAAAACCGGCCAAGAATGTCATCCTTTTCCTGGGTGATGGTATGGGCATCCCCACTATTGCCGCTTCTCGTTTCTACCTTGCCGACAGAAGTGGACTTAATGGTTCCGCGGTGATGCATCCCTTTGAGAGTTGGCCCTATAGCACAGTCGCCAGGACCTATGATCTTGAGACTGTCGTCACGGATTCGGCAAGTTCAGCCAACGCCTACCTCACAGGTACCCACTTTCGACCATAGCAACATTTCGATATGCTCTACGTAAACTTCATTAGACTTTTAGTTTATTTTAATTAAGTATTATTAGAAATCTCGGTTCAAGTAACTCTCAATAAATCTTGCGGTTCAGAAGACCACGACAAGTATCTGTTCATTCAATTAACAGGGGACATTTGCTATAACCTTTGAAGTTTTTTTGATGGTCAGTTAACATGAAGACCCCTCCTGAACTTGTAAGTTCTGAAAGATTTAGGTTTTCAGAAAAAGGAGACAAACGACAAAAAGCCAAAAATTGATAGTTTTATCCTGTCAACACAATATTTTATGTAAGACTGATTATCCTTTTAGGATTGAAGACAGCGCTTATTGCCCTTCTAAATTGTTTATAATAAATATCACAAGTTAAGGTACTAAAAACTCACGAAGATTACTATATTGTATTGTTCAGACGGAGGGAAGGTAAATTCAGCCAAAGCACATATGAAAGATTTGTACAGAACTGCCTTCTTTCAAAAGGTCCAGATGCCTTTAATGGATATCTCTTACGTGTACATGGAATAGGATTTTGATTAGAGCACAGTAATTTATGTTTAATCCTCTGATTCTAGGTTGCAAAACCAGAACTGGTATGATTGGTGTCACGGGCAAGTTGCACTACAAGCAGTGCGGTGTGTGGGATAAAAAGGATTACACTCAGTCGGCACTTAAGGCGGCCGCTGCTAAAGGCAAAGCCACTGGCATACTGACAACGACACGAATCACTCACGCTTCACCTGCCGGCTGCTTTGGTCATGTCACTTATCGGGACTTCGAAGGCGACATGTAAGTGCCTATATATCCTTTCCCTTCAGGACGGGTACCCTAGGAGCCTTGCCAGTTCTTTTATAAATCTGACTCTAGTATGCTGAGGGACATAAAAAGGGACATTTGCCTTTTGATACGCCAATGTTTAGAAGAAAAAGCGACCACTTGAACAAGAGTTTAACTGTCCTGATTTTTCGGATTTCGTCGGGAATCCTTAATCATAGGTTATCGTAGAAAAGTCTGAGGCCCTTATCTGTGCATGCCTCAGACTTTTCTACAATAACCTATGATTGAGGATTTCCAATGGAATCGGAAAAGTCAGGACAATAAAACTCCTTTTCCAGCGGTTGCTTCTTCTTCTTCTTAACTGCTTCCTGGAACCCGCACATTCAATTCTGTTGGCACGCTAATGTTTGTTCGTCCATAAAAAACAAAGTTAAGGATGCAGTTACTTTTCTCAAAACTTGTACTTGTAGACCTACAGTGAAGGGATGAAAGAAAAGTAATCATTTCAGCCAACCTAGTTTCTATTGGGGGTATATCTCGACTGTTCGTACGTGCGTCTAAATTCTCACATAGAAGCAGAAAGTAGTTTTCATAAGAGTGAGTGGCAAAGGTTGATCAGCCTATGTTTAATACCCAGCTGAAACATATGCATTTTGTTTCTCACGGACAAATCAGAATTCACATGTTTCTGCTTGTGCTTTTTGGCGGTCCATTAATCCCTATGTAGGTAAATGCCTTGTTATTCG